CCAAATACACAAAATAATGTTATTTTTAGCAACATCATATGACCCCTTTAATATCAATGTTGAAAACAGTTATGGTGCGTGATATTTTGTGGAAACCGTGATACCCTTTAGAAAGTTTACAAAACAGCATTTATGCAAAATAGAAAATTTTTGTATCATTATAAATATCTTTACTGTTACTGTTGATCAATTTAATGCATCCTTGTTGAATAAAAGTATTAATTTCTTTTTAAAAAATCATACTGACCACAAACTTTTGAACAGTGTGTATATATCAATGTATGTATCAATCTATTCATTTTCAAATCAACATTAAAGGGGTCATATGATGCTTTTTTAAAGATCATTATTTTGTGTATATCTCTCTCTCTCTCTCTCTTAGGCTAACATTTATATAAATGTATCCGTGTATATCTTGGGTCTTGGCTGTGTTTTTCACCATTTTTAATCACATTTAGCCTTCAATAGTTCATTTTAAATGCACAGTCACAGCAACTTTACAAACATATTTCATACATAAAGAGATATTAGTATATTTATGCAAGATTTCAGATCAATTTTTTGGTATGTTGAAATGAATAAAAATAGCAAGTGGATAAGCATAAGTAAGTTCTACATTATGCATAGAAATGAATAAAAATAGCAAGTGGATAAGCATAAGTAAGATCTACATTATGCATAGATCACTGCTGGTATTGGCTTGTTAGTCGGCAGTGTAAGAATCATGGTCAAATCCCTCTGCCCGATACCCCCTTACAGTCATGTACTGTGACACCACAGTATGGCTCTCCCAGAATGCCTTGCTGCACACAAAAGCCAGAGGGGGTCTGTCTTGCAATAGAACCAGCATGAGGGATATATGAGTAATCATATTTAATGCAGCAGGGCTCCATGTTGGACAAACCCAGAGAAGCATTACATAAGAGGCTTTCAGGCACTAGCTGGGCTTTAGCACACGACATAACAAATGGTGGGAACAAAAAAAAGAGGCCAGTTTGCGAATATATTGGCTAACATACCCCATTCACCCTCCTTTTTCTACCCTCTTCCTTCATCCGCTCAGGACTACTGTGCTCCTTCTCTCACACTTTTCTTCACTCTCCCTCTGAGCCTTTCTCTCCTGTTTTAATTTGTTATCCTTCTCTCACCCGACTGCTGCCAGTTTTCTACTGACTCTGCCCACCCAATTTTTCAGTTGCTCCGCCTCTCTTTCCCTCCTTCAGCATAGGCGTCCTTATTTCTCTTGTACCCTGTCAGAACAGCCTAGAATCCGTGTGCAGGATGATAGTGGGAAATGGAGGGATAATCCAAGGGATTTTTAAGGATTTAAAGTGTTTGTTTTGGCTATTATTAATTGCACAGGATGCAATTACCATAAACATACAGGCAGCATGGGAAAACAGGGTCAGGTGCTTCAGGAATAAAGATAAACATATAGTACTTGATCAATTTGGGCATTTTAATATGCCAATATCTACAAGAGAGGTTTTAAACTGTTTGATGACACAGACCCTCAAATATGATGATCCTCTTTCTAAATGCCCCTTGCCTTCCTAAATGTATCTAAATGCATCTAAAAGTATCATGATGATAGGCAGAAAAAGTAAATATATTTTTCTAAATATTTTCCATATAATAATTAACACACATTTATCATATTTTTATGTACATGTGTATGTATGTGTATGTTTTTTTTCTGATTGTTTGGGAAAACAAATATGGGATTCAGGCAGAGGTTTTATATGTACGACTTGTCTTTATTCATGTGCTCTTTATGTATTTATTTTGAATTATCCCTGTAAATGCCAAAAAAAAAAAAAAGATTTTATTTTATATTATAATTTAAAATTGTCACATTTTTTTACACTTTGAAAACCCCTGATCTATAGAACTAGGTGGATGTAATATATTATGTACATAATACATCATATATAATGCACCCATGGAATATAACACAGGTGGAATGCTGGATTGACCAATCTGCATCCAGAACTGTAACTATGCATTTTATAATTTCTATTTTGCCATTTCAGTTATGTTATTATAAAAACAATGCACTGCCATTAAACAAAACAGTTCTTCAACAAGACGCTATAAAACTCACTTACTCGGTAAAGCAGATCAAATTTGTGTGGTGAGAACACAATGCACCTGTGTGTGTGTGCGTATGCGCTCACCAGTGCGCAAAGCAGGTCCACAGCCTCTAGAATGAGTTCCTGGTGGCCGATTCGAGAAACGCCCAGATCCTCGAGCTCCTGATGGGTGATTCTCAACAACTGTTCACCGCCCACCTTTTCCTGCTCAAAGTTCTTAATGTACTGCAGTAGACAGTCATCCAAACCTTGAAAAGAGCAACACACAGCAAAATGAAACATCATTCAAGTTGCTAGAGCATCTTGGATAGTACATATTCATTTACAGCACAGTTTGGTTAATCAGTTTGGTTACAATCTGATTAAATTAGACTAAAACAGACATTATAAACAACTCCCGACATGGGAGTGTAGGAGCCGATTGCATGTTTATGTGGTGGCCCTCAAAAGAGCATAGGTACATTGTAACCGGTTCTACTTCGCCTCGCTTCGAGCGGGATTTGAACCGTGGTCTACGGCATGGGAGGCGGGTGCTCTAACAGTCGCTAGAGCGCCTCTTGAGATCAGGGGAGTGAGGTTTACACGCACAGCTCTTACTAGCCTACGACAGTTACACTCACCCCCCTAAACCTCACTCCCATCCGGGTCACGGCACCAAATGTACCAAATGTAACCGGTTCTACTTCACCTCGCTCCAAGCGGGATTCGAACCGCGGTCTCCGGCGTGGGAGGTGGGCGCTCTAACAAGGAGGCTAAAGGTTTACACACACAGCTCTTACTAGCCTACGACAGTTACAACAGTATACATAAAAAAAGCTCTCTAGGACAGTAGTGAGGGATTGTGAAAGTCTTGGCACACAGCTGTTTAAACAGGCCTCATTTTGTGGACCGGCACAGACTGAGACACACAACTTTGAAATGCTTTGCTGTCATGAACAGACATCAGTGGACTTCAAGCACTATTGTCACTAATAAGGGAAGACCTGTTTGGCAAGAGCTAGCTGTTGTCTGGGAAACACGTGCCCCCTACCCTTCTATACTGATCCTTTGCAATTGGTTTCTTCTCCCACAGATTCACACAAAACAAAACACCATATATTTATAGAAGAGAGGCAGAAATTCTTTAACACATTCAGCTAAACCAAAAGAAATATGTTGGTTTGAGATAATTTATGTACAAGCAAGCAGGTAGTTATTTGCATTTAGTGTGATTCAACCATTCTTAGGACTACAGGCTGCAAAATGTGCAAATAAAATCGTCTCAGATGAAAAAAAAAAAACCTTGAAAATAATATATATATAATGTAAAGAAAACGTTGTGAGCATCCTTATACAGTGGCATTTACCAGCATGCATCAGCATTTCAACAAACGTAATATCCGATTCACAAAGACTTTTATGAACCATTTTTTTCATGAGTCAGGCAAAAAGATTCACGAAAAGTCTCATATTTGCTTATGAGCTAGCAACTTGAATCAGATTCATACTGGGTTTACTGACTCCCTCACTGAACCGCAAGTGTAATGTTTCATACTGGGTTTACTGACTCCCTCACTGAACCGCAAGTGTAATTAAAGATATAAAATATAATAGTTTCATACTGGGTTTACTGACTCCCTCACTGAACCGCAAGTGTAATTAAAGATATAAAATATAATAAATAATATTTAAAATAATTAATTAAATATTTTGCAAAAACATTCTCAGGGCTCAAGGCTGCAAATTCAATGCAATCAATCAATCAATTAATAAATAAATAAATAAAAATGATAATAAAATTATACAAACTCTCATCAGAAAAACTTTGCGAGCATCCACATGTTGTTTCTTCATGTATGATCTGGTTTATTGTCAGCATGCACCAGCATTTCAAAAACAAAAAACATAATGCAAGTTATGTCCGATTCATGAAAAGACTCTTATGAACCCATTCTTTTCGATAAGTCAGTTTAAAAAGATTAATGAAAAGGCCTTGCATTTGCTTCTAAGTTAATGGCTTGAATCAGATTCACTCAGTCAGTGAGCTGAATATCACGTTCACAACTGATTCGCGAGTGTAATAAATCCAAAATTTGTAATAAATCAATTAATGCAATTAAAAATAATAATAATAAATATTTCACAAAAAAATAATTTAATAATGGTAATTTGGGAACTAAAATGTAATTTGGCTTCTAAATCTTATTAAATCTAATTAACTTATTAAGCACCTTTACCTCAGCATTTTCCATGTTCACTTCCACCCAGCTCCCTCCTTCTGTCCTCAGCACTATTCATTTCCTCTCCACCTCCCTTAAATTCCCTCACAGACTCGTGTTTCTCCTCCATGACTTTTCTGACTCCTTTATATAATTATATGCATGCTCATTTCACAACAAAAGACAAGGCTGCAGAGCATGTAATATGTCCCTTTCATCAACTCCCTGATATTCATCTCTCTGTTGCATACATCTAATGGACCGTGAGGAGAAAGTTCAGATATCGGCATGATTCAAAACTGCTGAAAGCGAAGGTTTCACGGCTTTGCATGCAATTTGAGGGCTTAACAAATCCGCTTCTTTACCAGGCTGATCTAAACTCCTTCCAAATGAAAGAAATCATCACGTTCGTCGCTGTATGTTGCTATAGAGACGGTATAAGGCCGGGAGAGTGTTTAAGTAGTACCTCATTACCAAGACAAATCTGGCAGTGAGATGAGAAGCTTATATATGACAAATAAATAAAGAAAGAAACATCTAATACATCAATGGACTATTCAGAGATTTCAGCTTTTGTGTGGCGTTTGCATTGTAATGCTAATGAAATATTATAGAAATATTATTATTAAGACTCTCAATAGCTGTACTGAACAACAATGGTGTAGATAAATTTGACCATGACAGATTCACAACAGAAACAAGTCAGGAAAGGCAAGGCATTTGTTTTTGTCAGAAGAACTTCCCCAATAATTAGAAATAGCAACATGAAATCAATTGTCTTTTTAGCACTTCAACTAATCTCTATAGAGAGTGTTGCTCTTCCTGTGGCTGAGCGAGACAGTCCAGCTCACACAGCGCCTGTGTACACAAACAGTAAACTCATTGATTAGGAGGGCATTAATCTGCTGTTAATTGCAGCCGCTGTGGCTAAGTTGTGTTAAATACTACAAAGAAGAACGCCGGACGTTCATCTGGGACCGTTAATCTTTGTCAAGCGAGGCGGGTGGTCGGCCAACAGTCAGAACCGAGGAAGATGCAGCGAGAGGGTGAGAGTGAAGTAGGTTAAGGAATGAGTGAGTAAGGAGAAAGTTGTGCTGAAGAAGAAAATCTGATCATAGCTTTACAGTACATTGAATAAAGCGGCTTAGAAGCTGGTCCACTACAGCTGTGACCTGAAAACCTCTAAACTGTCCTGAATCCATCTTTTGGCAAACGGTGTGGCCCAGTACCAAAAGAGGGATCAGAAGCTTCGTAACTCTCTAAGCAATCGATGCTTACTTGAGTTACATAGAGATATAGAGTGTTTTCCCTCAATAAACTCTCAGTTTTCTGCTTGATAGTAAGTAAGGTAGTTGTTGTAGTGGTAGTCATGCAGATTAAGGCATTAATATGTGCCTTATAAGTACTAATAAACAACCAATATGCGAGTAATATGCATGCTAATAAGCAAATAGTTAATAGTGAACAGTGTTCCTTAATCTAAAGTATTACCAGTTATCTAAAACTAAAACCATTAAAAAAATTGTACTTGGAAAAAAAAAAAGGTAACTGAAAATAAAATATATATTTTAAATTATTTTAGTCAGTTGCCAAGGCGACATTACTCATTTTAATTTAGTTTAACTTGATGTACTAAAATAACTAATACTAAAACCTAAATAAAAATTAATAGACTATATAGACTATTAAAACTTTATTAAACTACAAAAAAAGGTTAAATATGACAAAACACTCAATAAATTACTACAATTTTAACTAAAATGAAAATTAAAACAAAAGATATAAAAATAAAAACTAATTCAAAATATTTATAAAAACTAGCATCTCAATGATATTAAATAACACTGGAATGGAAATTCAAAAAGGCAGCACAATAAAAGTATGATAAAAGTGGTCAAATATGACTTTTACACCATATTCAAAGTTTTCTGAAGCCATGTCCTTTGTGTAAGGAACAGACCAAAATTTACCACGTCATTCATTAATAATCTTCCCATCCAGTGAGCTGTTAGCCACTGCAACCAGATCCCTTGAACTCAAGAACCAGATCACTCTAATTCCTGAATTAATCATTCAGACTGGTTTTGTGAAACGGATCAACCAATTTACTGATTCATCCAACTCAAAAGAACAACCTGATTGACCATAACACTTGTTCAAAGTTGTCAGAAAGAAAGTATTACAGGTTTGGAACTACATGAGGGGAAGTAAATGATGACGGAATTTTAATTTTTGGGATGAATTATCCCTTTATTGACGACACACTGCTTTCCCATTTCAAGACAGATAATTTCTCTGGGGTATTATGCAGGAATCTGTCTGATATTTGCACACTGCTACACACAGCTACTGTAGTTATTTTACAGTGTCTGTCAACAAACAGCAAAACAGGCTGTGTATTTGGCCGATACGTGTGAAATCCCATTGAACTGCTCAGTTAAATAGATTAGTACAACATGCATTTAATCAAGGCTACATTTGAGCTTTATTGTGTGCAGTTTTATTGGATTTACTGCTATTATTCTGCTCAGAATGCCCATGGCACCACTCTGAGGGGGGCATAGGAGTGAGTCACAGGAAGCATTGAGGGGGGCAGGAAAAAAAGAGCATTGAGGGAAGGTCACAGGGCTCTTCTGCGCTGGGAAGGCTGTTGTCTGGCCCTCAGCGGCATCACCTGGGGTCATCACCACTGAACCATATGCTAATGTTAGAGCTGCAACATGGTAATCGCAGTGTGCTAGGAAACCTGTGAATATAGGAACAGGAAACACTGTCTAGATCATGGATTTATACAGAGAATATATCTTCAGAAATATTCAAAACTGCAACAGTTACTAGAACAAATCTTTCGCTAGAGCTGTGGTGCAGCGGTAGCACACATGCTCTTGACACATTAAAGGGGTCATATGATGCGATTTCAAGTTTTCCTTTCTCTTTGGAGTGTTACAAGCTCTTGGTGCATAAAGAAGATCTGTAAAGTTGCAAAGACTAAAGTCTCAAATCCAAAGAGATATTCTTTATAAAAGTTAAGAGTCAACCACGCCTACCTA